ACCCAGAGAGCACAACAGAAGGATTTGTTTTTGTTTTGCCAGAAACGAGGCCCGCCATTTCAGGTTTCGAAATCATGCTTCAGTTTCTCTTCCCCGTTTTTGACACGTTCGCTTTGTACGGACGGCCCAAGAAGCTAATCGCCGATGTTCTTGACACTCGAGGATTGATGTTTGCCATGCCTTCAGATCGACGATACGGATACTTGGAAATGTGGGACGTCGTGGGCTTGATTAACACACCAGGCAGTGACAAATGGTCGGAGCGTCAGTGGAGAAAACAGTTGAAGGATCTTACCTCGACACGTATGAACACTCTGGGTTCTGACGCTGGTTCCGTGTACAATCGAGCTAGCCGCAGAAACACCGTGGGTCGTGCCGGTTTCACTCCTCGTGGCTTACGTTTCGAGGATCACGGCTCGGTCCGCTCCAGCCCATCTACGCGCCAGTCATCACCTAGTAGGAAGACACTCCAGGATCTTGAAGTGCAACCACCGCGTCGGGTCGGAACTGCACCAGCTGCAGACCCATTTGGTACCCCGCGTCATCAACGCTCCGTATCCGAGCAAGTCAATGGTCACAGCCAAACGACATCATCAAGGTTTGTGCCGGATCAAGCATCGATTGAAGACGAAAACCCGCCAACGCCCCCTGAACATCGTATATTCAACGTGACTCCACCAGCCGGAGCTGTACAGCCATATGACAGTTCGGATTACGATGAGAGTCCTTCGAGAGAACCACATGATCTGCCGCCGCCTCCTGCAGACTTGGCCGCTCCTCCTCAAGGCAACGTCGATCTACCCCCAACTCAGGAGCATGCCGCCAACCAGAGGCCGCCCATCCGGCCCAACATTCCCATGGCAAAGCCGAACCCAGCTGTTGATTCCGCTACACTTCAGCAAATGGCTGATGCCGTGCATGCACCATTGCAACCAGGCTTGGCTTACTCCAGCGGTGTCGCGGCTTGGAGAGGCCAGGAGAGCATTCAAAGCAGGCGAAGCGGCGATTACGCTGACCAAGGACAGATGATGTCTCTCGACGTCACCTCAAGACCACCTCCGACAAATCAGAACTCGATCAACCGTTTGTCCACTATTCCTGCATCGCCTTATGTTGAGCATTCGGAGTTTGTCGATCCTCCAAATACGTACCAGCCAGTTGCCCCGCCCGTCCCAGAGCATAGTGAGTTACCTCAGCAGCCACAAAGCCAAGAGCTTCCTTTCCGCCCACACCCGGAAAATGGCAGCATCACACGCAAGCCACTGCCAGGTCCGTCTCCCCTCGCCTCGCAAGAGGATGACACTCTATCGACCAATAGCTCAAGACTCGACAGTTTACAACACGACGTAGTCGACCTCGAAGCACTCGATGCTCTCAACATGGCCCAGGCAACTTTGGCCCGTCGACTCAGCGCATCAAGCAGCCGTTACGAAGATGATGCCGCATCTACGTCAACACCGGACTATGCTAGCATTGTTGAAGAGGAACCACAGCCTCCCCCACGCCGACTTCCTCAAAGACGTGAGGACCGCCCCAGAAGCGGCGTGTTGACAATCGTTGGAGACCCCAACGTGAAGGCTCCTGTAGAACAAGACCCGCATGGATACAAGTCTATACTAGACCCTGCCCAAACACCAGCTGAGGTACCCAACATTGACTTTGGACCAACCTATGCTCTAGATTTCAATGAAAAACGCCCGGGTACTAGCGGAACGATGACACAAGTGCTGCACGACGGCGGTGCCTCACGATCCAAGGAAAACCTTGCGACAACTCCAAATGAGCACAGGAGGACTTCATACATTTCTGCAGGTAGTTCGCCTCACTTGCCTTTGCATGTGCGCAGTGGCTCCGACTCCTCAAAGATTCAAGATTCACGGCAGGTACCCTGGCAACCAGCCGCGCCCCAAACCCATCAGTCAGATAAACAAAAGTTGGATCCTCAGGATTGGGTAATGCACCGCGCGTCTATGCAGCAGCCTAAGATGTATGGGCACGGGAGGAGCAAGTCGCACACGCCTCCACCTTTTGTTCGCACACCTTCCGGGGATTGGAGTCAAGTTCAGCGATCTCCGTACGAATCCTCAGGAATGGTCCGCCCACCTAGTCGTCCACTAAGCTGCGGGGTAGACACACTGCTCGAGCAACGACCCACAACATTGTCAGCTCGCGAACAAGAACAGGTGGCGCGCATGACAAACACGCCCCTTCTTGACCTCTCGCAGAATTCCAAGAAGTCGCAGCAAAAGGAACCCCCTACAGGGTTGACCGGGCTCATTGACAACCGCGAAAAGGAGAGGGCCGCGTCAAAAATCAATCGCCACAGTTATTCGGCAGCTATGCAAGTCGAGATTGATAGGCGTACCCTGCAGAACCAGCAACGACAAATCATGGAAGCCCAACAGCGTCAACAAATGATGATGCAACAACACATGCAACAGCAGTATGCCATGGCGCAAAGTACGTATGCCCCAAGCATGATGGGAACGCCAAGCGGCATGGCAGCACCAAGTGTGATGGGCACCCCTAGTGTGATGGGCACCCCCAGCGTCCTGGGCATGCCCACAGGTCCCGGCACACCATCCGGCGCATCTGTCATGGGCTACTCCACACCAAACCAGATGCATCCAATGTACCAACAGCAGCAACAATATTTCCCACAGCAGGCGTCGACACCATATATGCAGGTTCCTGGTGCTTGGACCACACCAACGGGGCAAATGCCACAAGGACAATACTTTCCTCAACAGCCTATGCAAGGCTATAGCAACGTGAGCCAGCAGCAGCAACAACAGCAACAGGCACCGACACAAGCATATGGTGCGAGCTTTGATCAGGCACAAGAGGCAGCGAGACACTCTTACCATCAGCAGCAAGCTCATTTGCGACGATGAACGGACCCACAGCCGTGAGAGCAATTGCTAAATTTCGAGATCGGGTTTAATTTGTAATATTCCGATTGGATAGATGGGAGTCAATCCTTGTACATGTTTCCTTTTGTATCTTTTTCCTTTGTTCAGTTTGGTGCATGGCATGCCTTGACGGCCTCGGTGCATCTAGAAGTTTTGGTTTTGGGTCTGGATAAAAACATTTTTTTGCATGGTTGGCTCCAGACATTGGGATGGAGTTGAGTTTAGGGTTTTCTAGACTACATTTTTTTTCTTCTTTTCTTTTTTTCCTAGCGTGCTTGGTAGTGGAGGTTGAATACATGCATAATTGCCTTTTTGGTATTAACCTCTATCCTATGACGTAATGATGCATCTTCTTGTGATTTCTTTTGTAGTGGTTTGGCGTATTCTTGTCGTATAGTAACAAAAGAATTATTGAGAGACATCGCTCTCGGAACTTGTTCAGCATCTTTAAAAAAAACGATATTTGACTTGGGAAAATAAAGAATGCGCTCCAAGGCAGAGTCGCAATATCATTCATCTCTAGTGATCCCGCAGATCCGTAAAGATCGGGAACCTCGGTTGCGGGGCAAAAAAAAAATACTTGACCCCTCTCTTTCTCTCTCTCTCTTCCCCTCATCCCAAAGAGGAGAAAAAAGACACTGGCAGCTAGCTAGCTAGCTACCTACCACCCCCGCCTTTCCACAAGCCTTAGCCAGTCGCAATAACCGGTCCATGCACCAAAATCGCCTTCTCATTACTAAAATTTGGCACATCCTCCATAATCTCTTTAGTACCCGCATCTTTAATCGCGGCCTGAAAGCCCTCGTAGCTCTCCCACTCGAGCACCGAGACGAACGCGTAGGGGCTGTCGGCGTTGAGCTCGGTTACTTTGTAGCCTTTGAGGCCGTGCTTGGTCCAGTGCTTGGAGGCCAGGGGCATGTGGGTTGAGAGGTAGTAGTCTGCGTTGAAGGTTGAGGTTGGGGTTTTGGGGTAGAGGACTAGGACTGTTGCTGGGGCCATGGTTGGTTCGGTCGTGGGTGTTTTTTTGGGGGTTGTTGTTGTATATGGTTTTATTATTGACGGGGTAAATGATGTTGTTTGCAAGTAGGTGTGCGATGAAGGTTTCTTTTATATATGTGGGTATCGGGTTTTTTTAGTTACCTCGGTTTTCTCCACTTTTTTTGGTCTTTGTCGAGGTGAAAGCCCCCCCACCCGCGAACCCCGCTCCCGATCTTTTGCGGATGTTGTGGCACGTTGTGAGAATGGGCCTTGAGTGGGTGCAGGCAGCGGATATGCGGTGGACCGAAATATCCGGATAACAAATGCCATTATTAATGTACAATGACAAAGCTACGGCGCTATAAATACTAAACAGTGTACGGCTTGGCTATTTCTGAGTAAGGAACTAGATTGTGGTGTACTTTTAAGAACTCTGGATGTTTTAGGGAACTTGTAATGCCCTTTGTAGTGATTTTAACAGTGATCTGGGCTGACGTTGGACATGATTCTTATCCGGCTGTTTTGATCCACCAATTCGCAGAATTGCGTGTTGGTCCACTTTGGGATGGGTAGGTATGTTTGTGTGAATTATCGATGTGATGTATGTACTGATTTTCTTGAGCAGCTAGTCTCGTTGGTGTAACGGTGAGAACTGAGCGTTAACACGATTTGATGGCGTGGAACCTTTAGGAAAAACAGCTGACACAATGCTGCACCAGCTGTAAGATTGTCTCGAAAGGGAAAAAGGAACATTTCAATATCTCCTTGTTAGGAGTCATGGAGAAGAGGTGTACCATGCATGTTTGAAGCAGTGCCACTGCTGTCAAGGCTTCATCATTAGCTCTACTACGGATTAGATTGGAACAATCCATACGAAGGCCAAAAGCTTATTTCAAGAAGTGTAAATTAATTGGAGACATATGACTGCTACTAATCTACAGTGTATTACAAATAAAGCTGTTGTAGGTTGCCCGTCTCATAAGTCAGTATTGTAAACAATCGTTTACCCTTCACATGCGCGAATCCCAACTCGACCGCTATTGATTAACAAAGTCGACGAGAGATCTTGCAACCGGCACCGTGCAAAGCTACTCCCGCCACTGCTCTGGTTTAAACAATCCGTTGATACGAGTACAAACCTATCCTAGCGTGGCCTCCACACTTTTCATTTGCGTTACCAACGCAAGACGAGGTGCATTCAGCCTCTGGGGCCAATTTTCCTGCACGTCTGAGACTATTTCCGCAAAAGCACATTTTACCCGCCTCAAGACCAAAGTATGCGTAGTGCTGACAGATGGTTCTGCATCTTGTCATCGTCATAGTATTGTTATTATTCCATTATAGTCCTGTATCAGCCGTTGGCTATGTAGGACTTTGGCCAAAGGCCGTTCTATCTGACTAGTTACAATTTGGTACGTTATGCTGTATTGCGTGACTATGGTGCTTCGGCCTTTGTCTAGTTAAGCTAGTGCT